CTATCGTTACCTAGACATGGATTGTAATTTTCTATGTCCAAACTCAAGAATTTTTATTGGCGAGCTCAGAAGCCCTGGGCGACAAGCAGTCGAAACTGTAAAATCCCTGGTAGACCTAGTCAAGCAGTGATTTTCTAGTTCAGTCTATCTGGTTTCCAGCTACTTCTGAGCGAATAAACAGTTATTCAATAAACCCATAGTAACGTAGCTATGAATTGTCTCTAATTGAGACTGAGTTTAGTTAAAATTAACGTGTGGTTAACGTAAACAGATGGTATAAATAGTCTTGTTAAAGGAGTTAACTTCTCATTAACGTGTGCATAAATTGTTTATAATATATATGGCTGGGATAAGGTAGAGGGCAATTTTCAATGCATACGAATCATTTTCGTCGTAATTTCTTTGGTTTGAAGAAGTTTTTTGGCCCACTGAATGCTTAGGAAGCCTGCTATTCGTTGATAATACAATATAAAGAATGAGGCTGTATATTTCGTTCACCGGACCATGGACAGATGGACGGAGCCTAACAGAAGTACGTTGAACAGTAATAGTATATCCGAAGACAGATATTTGTATATATATAAAATGTGAATATTTTCCTTTACTTCGTTGGAATCATCTTTATTCTTTGCTACATCCATACATCCATATTCCCTGATCTTTTGGCTGTTGTCTATTTCAGCTTAAAAAATAATTATCTGGAGATTTCGTTATCTTTTTACACAGTGCGGAGGCCTTTCTTACTCTTAGAAGAAGCTATTGCTTTTGATGAAATGCCATTTTAAATACTATGAATTCTATGAAGCGTAATACTAATTTTAAAAAAAAAGTCAACCGTACACGAACTTTCTAGCTCACCTCTTCGTACAAAGTATTAGCTAGAGGGTAATTGTTTCGAAATTAAACTATAGTATTGATGTAGGACGCTCCTAATTGTCCCAGTGAACACATTAAATTTATAACTAGGTTCGATCTAATTTATTATGCACATTTACATCCGTATTAAACAATCCAGGCACAAAGTCAGCCGTTTCCAAGGGAGCATGACCTGTCTACAGCTAATACCAGAATACGCGTATGGTGGGATTTTTATCAGTTATTTATTTCAACAGGCTTAGATACCTGTTAGTTATTAGGCCACAAAAGGTAGTAGTAACTGGTGTGGGAAACTGTGCCAGTGTAACGCTCAAGGCAAGGGAAGTAGATTTGTTAAAATAGTTCTTCTCTCGAACGGCGATTGAATGATCTCTAGTGCATAGTCCAGAAAATTTTTTGCTTACCACCCTAGCACAACTCATTTAGATTTCAAAAGTCTAAGCATCCATAAAGATAAACATGTTTACAATGATAGACGGAGACATATTTGGAGGCTTCGTGTAGCTACGAGGCCGATCGTGTCTACTTCAATAATAATGTTCAGGTTAACTCCAAAGCCGAAAGTTATAAGGCATTTGATGTTAAGGGCCGACCAAGAAAAAAAGGCAATCTTTTTTGTTCACATCCGAAATAACATGTCTGTCCACATAGCGATGACCGCATACAGCACACGAATAAATGTAAGCCACTAAGATATTACGATCCGTGTACTCCTGTCGCAAAAGGTCAAACTATATTACCCATGAATCTTAGGAGATGTTTAGGATTTACTTACAAATATTCAGATTACTTCACATACTAACTTCGATGATTAAGAGATTTTTAATAACAAATAAAATGCCAACATTCATGGTCGTGTATGGTAAGCAATGTTTATATTATTTATATACGTATATATTAGCCATAATTTTCATAGATAACACATATCTAAATCACGTAGTAAAGGCGAAGGAATATCTTACCTGCGGCCTATTTTGTGGAAGCCAACACAGACTAATTCCCAAGTGTCCTTACCATGCTAGAGAGCAGTATGCTTTTCATCGTAAACGATCACGGGGCTGTGAAAAGCTGTCTGTGGGAAACCGCAATATTATTTCTTGAAATGCATATCTACGATATTGCAGTATGGTAGTTTATAACTACTGACATGCGCGAGTCTTTTGATAGTCAACGATAATGTGATTAGAACGTCCGAGCCTGACCTGTAACGCTGCGGATTTACTTTCAACTCAAAAATTAGGTAATGAATACCATCAACGGCTGTGTTTGCAGTTCATTTAAAATTGAGCCTTATTGCCCCAAAGGCAATATATCCTTAACTGTGAATACTCTTACTGTAAAAAAAAATACCTAACCCATTTTACGTTCTTTTTATAAGTTATGCCGAGTCTGCCCGTCACTATCTCCTCAAATCGAATTTCAGACAGAGGTCTGACAAATGTGCCTAATAGTACATCACGTATGTACTGTATAAGGATATGCAAGAGATAGCGCACCCTCAGCATTCCTATAGAACAAACGAAGCCGACAATTCTATATTATAGTAGCCAACATTTGACATTCTCAATTGCTGTGTGTATGACTTGTGTATTTATGTAATGATACGTAATAATGCAAATCATATTTCGAGCTATAGAAAAATTGAGGCCAAGCGCTGTTAAGGCTTGTGTCTATTTCCCGAGAGTTTAACGAGAACTTTATTTAGTTTCGTTAGGTTATTCCTTGTGAAATGCTTCGTCGTGTGTGATTTTGAAACGACAAAAAAAACTTTATCTGAGAGTTTGGCTGAGCTTTTATAGGGCGTTGTGATATTTTGAGCATCATGAGCTGATTGGCATAACCTCGATTATGGTAACTGGATACAATAACAACAATGCCAGTGAATTTTGTAGTAGATGCCCCAAAGTATCAATTATTCAATTAAACAACGCTGATTTATACTAACGAGGCTGTGAGCATAAGGAAGCAATTTTTAGTTTGGTTTTTGACAATCCTATTTTTGAAATCTCTCATTTCTCAGGGTCATTGTAGTAAAGTTATGAGAAACTTCAACTCCTACCCCGGAGCAAACTCTACTTTTTTCTACAGGTATTGATAACCGACCGCTTGGTCCCACATACTTCGTAAACATTTTATTGTTCTTGTTTTATCACGCGCGAACTCTGATAGATTTTTTTGCCTGTGTTCGTCTCGTACTCAACACCACTTAAATTTGTAGTTTATTGCATTTAAAAGAAATATATACAGAAAGACCACTAAATTTTGACCTGTTATAGGGCCTAGCTTCTAAAAAAATATGTCTTTAGATTCGGGCATCTTCTTAAAGATGCTGTTTCTCAGTAAAGTATGTTTTGAGCGATTTTATGCAAGGGTGCCACCGCTAACACCAGCTATTATGGACCTAGGTATAATTAGAACAATATTCATATTATCATTGTCATAGAATAACTAACTAAACGCTTATTTGGAACATTATAAAAAATCTATAGCTACAAAAGCTAAAATTTTTCCCTATTGGTTACATATCTATCCTAAGAGCCTGCAGGAAACTTAGTGCTTCAAATTGACGTCATAGCATATTGCAGCTCAGCCTAAACAATAACGAGAACACTTCTATCGTGCTCAACTCTATGAATAAATATCACATAATGTCTGTTCGATCGTTCTTTGCCAGTATCTGGTCAGAATGATGAAAAAAATCATTGATCTAATCTGTTTCTTAGTCATTCTCTTGACGCTTGCGACAATGAGGACCTTAAAGTATAATGCTAAATTTTTACTGCGGAGGAGATAGTACTATTGCATTGAACTCATTCAGTATAGACATGGTAACCAATCCCCAGAGGGATAGGTTACTTTATGTAGATAACTTTTTCCTATAGGTAGGTGTTTTATGTCAAAGAAGATTATAAAAGGTGTGTATTATATTTCTTGCTTCTGCACGCTGTGGTTTTCACTCGCTTTGCCGCCTATGACGAACGACTAAGAAAAAAGCTTTCTCAAATGGATAAATATTTTTTGCACTACTTTACCATATAGTACCCTTTGACCAGAAAAGATACTTGCGGCTTATTTGAAATCTCCATCATCTTATAAGGTTCGAAGGTTTCAGCTTAAACCACACAGAAACTTCAATAGCCGACACAAATTCGAATTTTTGGCCCATTGAAGTTATATTTTTTTAATCTACATTTGAAGATTTTTGAAGGCCTGTTTAAAATGGTTAGAATCCCCCTTGCCAGTCCAATTACATCTGAATAGCATATCCTGTAGAGCAAAGCTCGAGACAAAATCGCTGCACTAGTTACGAAAAAGAGCAAAAGACCCATACCGACGTTATCCGTTACTATTAAAAAGCTACAGCGAAAAAGCCAATGTCTTAATAATGCCATTCTTGTTACTCGCTATTAGGTAAGCATGCCTTAGCCTACCGATTCTTTACGCGTATCCTGCCAATCACCTTGAGCCAATAGCTACCGATATGATTAGGCACGTTCATTTATCCTTCATTAGTTTTTATCAAAGGCCGCGTTTGCATACATTAAAGAACGAAATTTGTTTTTGATCGTGCACATTAGGCGGATTGATGGTGTACATCTAGCGGTTAAAGCTGGTCACCATTTATATTGACTCGTAATTTAGGAACAGCTGCAGCAAGGACAACCAAAACCCGTCGAAATATTTTCTAGAGCCGTTAGATATTTTCCGTATACCTAGAGCCTTCTCCAGCCTTTCCCGTAACACTCCAAGCGACGCCCCCAAAACGTGGCTCCAAGTTTGCCACTGCTATCGTATAGCTGTCCTGGCCAGGAAAGGAAATAAAGTGCTCTTTCCCAGTGGGAAGTGCATCCTTTTGTCCGTGCTACTCCCATATTAGTCCTTACGCCGTGGTGCCTTCATGCAGCAGCTTACGCGCATGCCCGGGCCAAATCTCTGGGTTTCCATCAGCTAGCTAGCTGTATGCTGAAAGGCTACTGCCTGCCCCGATCTGCATGTATAGCAAAGAACGACGGCGCTGGCCGTCCAAGGCAAAATGGAGCGAGAGAGAGGCCAAACTTTTACCATTCCAGACGGATCCTTTCCGATTCCTGGCCTTTCCTAATTTGACCCTCCTCTGTCTGCCTCCGCCTGTTCACTGCGCTCTTGGCTGGCGCGGTCGAAGCAGCTCGCAGGCTTACTCACGTGTTTCTTATTCCTTCATTTCATTACTCATAGTTCCTACTGGTGCTCCTCTGTTTCATGTCTGCTGTAGCCGCTCCCGTTGGCTGTGCTTATCCGTTCCGTTCCTAGCATAGGAGTGGTGCTCACTAGAGGTAGTGCTCCTTACCCTACCATCATCGCTAGTGCTCCTGCTCCATCTAATATTTGGAAGTGCCTTGCGACGGCCCCCCAGGCTTCAAGATAGGTCCGCCAGTGCCACCTAAGCCGCCTACGATGACGAGGCGGGCATTCAAGATCTTTACGGTCGACGCGTTTACCAACAAGCCGTATTGCGGTAACTCGGCCACCGTCGTTTTCCTCGATCGGGACCAGGTCAGTAGGATCACGACGACCTTTCGACCCATTTCCCAACGCCAAGGTCTCTCTCAAATGGCGTTCAAGGCCACGCAAAGAATTAATCTACACCGATCAAACATGCAGTTTCGATAAAAGGCTTCTACTGGCCATTTGACTTAGCAGTCATTTGCGATACGCCTGATTTTTCTAGCTCTTCCCAATAGTAGACGTAGTCTGTCAGTTGCCTAGTTTGCCAGTGCAGAAATCTAATTAGGCCGTTTTGACAATCTTATTCCTTAGTCAAAAAAGACATGTTGAACACAATTACCTAATCCTTCTACATGCGAAAATATTTTACGATCTCATAGCATAGTGACATCTTGGTTAAATAAAATAAGAAACTATGGTACGAGCGCGGGCGTGTTAATATAGTAAGCATTGAGCGCAATACGAGTCTTACGGTCTAGGTTTGGGATGGCTGCTAATTTGCTGGTTTTTTTGGGACCTGTTCCTGGATAGAAAGAGAAAGTATAAGATGAGATGTAGGTCTTTAACGGCATAGAATTACGTACTGAGCTTCGTTTACGGGCGCCGTCGTTTGCGTCGCCTAACTGTAGAGCAGTTGATGAAACGAGCATCTTACGATTACATAAGGGCAGGGCAAACCAATTCTGAGTGGTAATTTAGACAGGGATGTTGTAGATGGTGAGAAACTAGAGCTTAGTAATTACTGATGTAGATGGTGTGGCCTACTGTTGTCATGGGCTTACAATGGATAGGGTGCCCTCGATTCCATAACGCCAAATTTAGCGAAGGCTAGTAGCGGGAAAAGCGGTTCTAGAGACTCTTACCAAGAGCTTTGTTTTGGAGCCTACTTTGTTTTACTTTATATAAAATAGTGTTGTTCCATTTGGTTGCAGAATAGACGGATACGCTTTTAAGAACCCTAGAAGCTGGAACCACCTGCGAAGCAGCCTCAGCAGGCTTGGGGGACAGCGAAAGTAGTACTTGTGAAGGTCATCCCACAACTGGGAAAGCCTCGATAGTGCGGATACAATGTTGCGCCTAGATATCATCTGTGTATTAGATAACTAGTGCGTAACGTTTATAATCACATAATAAATACAACATTATGATTTTCGGGGGCCGTATCGGAAGCGCTAACTTTAAAATATTCGAAATGTAAGGTCGAAGATTATTAGGAAGAATATTTTAGTGCTGTTTGATCGAAGTTCTAACAAGACTTGTACAGTGCTTATTCTAATAGCAGCACCTTTATCTGTGTGGCTATTCTTCTCGAAGAAAGTTCTCTGGTGATCACTTTCTTCAGTAGATGTACACGCGATTCGTGTTCTGAGCGTTTGGCTCCGTTCGAGGTTCGGGTACCCAAGGGAAACATCAAAAAGCTTTCTTAAAATATCCACATATGTACTTTGCTTAATTCTGCTTAGATTGTAAACAATGACAGCCGAAGACACAAAAAATAAACAAGCATAGAAACGAGACTGGTTAACTTGCAAGTGCCATTGTGCGGCGATCTGGAATATCGCCCACTGCTACAAGGCTTAAACAACTCATACTGCACACCGACGCAAAAATGGGTCACTACTTATATCAATGGATCTGGCCGTAAGAAAACATTGGCTATATGACCTTCGATCACGCATTGGTAATATTCACAAGAAACTGTCGGCAGCTGCGATATTCTGATGTTTAAGTTCGTTTCTACTACACAGTTATTATAGGGGGTAGTATTCGAATCTTGCCTTCTCTGGATTATCGAAGATACAACATCTTTCATCAGGTAGCGCTTTTTGAAATGTGCAAATGAGTGAAAACCTATTCGTACTATCATGAAGACCTACCTTGTGCAAGCCGCCCGAACGGCCATATATATATATATGTATATATAGCTGACCGCGGTACTTATTGTCGACGAACGTGATGCATCTCATGCAGTAAACGAAATTCAGGTTAGGTTGGTTAACGTTTATTTAGAAGTGACTGGATATTTAAGAGAGAAATTCAGGCTTCGTTAATAGACTGATTCTTTTTGTATGTTTGAATAAACATTTCAATTATTTTTTTACGTTAGCAATATGTGAGGTGATCAAGATTCGAAACCGGAAGTAAACGTACTTTATTTCATATTGAAAGCCAGCCATCTAAAGCCGTGCTTAATGGCAATAGCGGATATAGGATCCTAAACAACTATACGTACATTTTAATTCTTTTTCTTCTGATTGTTGCCAAATCAAGATTTAACTACTAATCTATCTATACGCGATATAGCATCTATGCCTTCGTATCATTTTGGCCGTTAAAATTGTCCTTATTTGCCGGTGACGGAAAGCGCTTCATAGATGCCAATGATGTTTGCTAATATGTGCAGACATCGAACATAGGTGGTCAGTGGCCTTTGGTGTTCCCAACAAAATCCACCAACCATAATTTATGCCCATACAAAAGCGTAGACCATAAAACACGCGCAACTTCGGAACTGCCTTTGATTCCCGAAATAGCGACTGGAAAGTTGATAAGATTAAGCCCATTGAAAGAAAGTTTCAAAAAAGCAATTAGTTGTACCCCTCACCCTCAAGTGGTATTGTTAGTCTGACATTTTTGTATGCAGAAATATATGGCCTTTCGCTCTCCTGCTTTCAGCATAGGATAGTCCTGATTTAGTTTTTAGCTTACCACATCACACCTAATCCACAAGTCCCTTAAACCACCACCCTAACTCAAGGTTGCGTTTAGAGTGGCCGAAGGTCATTGACCATTTCCGACGAAATACAGGAAACTCCACTCAAACAATGGGGGTTCACCTCATTATAAATCCATATGAGTACGGCTATGCAATAGATACAGTTCAGACGCGTCCTCGGTCGGCAACGGTAACTTCTATCTTGTCGACTAATAAGCCAGTCAACGTATGCATACAACGTATAGCCACTACTACTACTAGGCATATTGTTTGAGGACATAGCGACAGAATAATGTAGTTTATAACTGCTGATAATCCCAGCCTCTTCTGATATCCATCGACCCCTGCTCCCCAGAGGACCTGTGCCGCGCATCGTCCTGACCTCTAGGGAGAGGCGGCTACGCTTTTACATCCCTCTTAATTTAGTTGATACAATTGCCAAGTCATGAACGTTATCTGTACATAAATTTGTATACGCGAGCCTATACAGTTGCAAGAGATGAAAGTCAAAGCGGACAAGAGAGAAAAAGGAGCAAAACATCAGGTGACATAGAGATAAGAAGAGAATACTCCCCGGGAGTTTAGCACCACCCTTTCGTAGTACGGAGATGGGAATGACTGGCAATGGAAGACATGGCTAAAAAAATATCTCGCATTGTTACACTTCAGTCGTATTAGCCCATCGGTGGCATAGGATGAAAAATGCTCGAATTTTTATTGTGATATCGTACCTATAGTAGTTTCGTAGCCTTCGAAGGCTATGTCCTCTCTTTCTATGTAAAAATAGGTAATGTTTTTGAAATTTGACAACTGACAGGTACAGCTAGTGTTTTCCCGTGTGCCGATAGCTGTTTATAATGCGGTGATTTCGAGGGTTTAGGTTCTCTATGACTAGCTGCTTAATTCTTCGCAAACGGCAAAAAGCTACTTCACAATAAGATAGTACACAATCGTACTGTGACGATCAACGCCTTTAGTCTTACACAAAACAAGTGCATACGGATAATGCATATATATTATTTTATGACCTTAGGAAGGAAACCATTCAAAGTCTCCGCGCAAATTATGCACAGTGTCGCCTAAATATTTCCATACCTTTCTAAGAGAGTACACAGCAGGCTAGTTGGAAAGTGGATAAAGGCACCATCAAAACCTTTTATGCGTAGAAATCCATGGAAGAGTTTCGATTGCAATCACTAACTAGCCGTCGTGGGCTTTTCTACCTGGAATATTGTATACGCATGCCAGCTTAGATCCGTGGATTACTAGTGAGCGCGCCAGTGCTAGGAGACTCTATACGGGATGGGCGCAATACGTCACAGCTCAACCTTTACCCTATCATAAATAGTGAAGAACGATTTAAATACGAACAGTTATGTGTGCCTCTCAGAAAAAACGAACAGTCTGACTAGTTTACAAAGAAAAACTTATACGTTTGTCATCAGTTGAGGAGTTCGACAACTTTTCTCGTATAGAATAATAATGTGATTTTTGAATGAAGCAAAAGTAGCTATAGGTACGTATATCAGCGACTCAGATAGAGAAAACAGTGATTTTCGGCTACTTTAGCATAATCACGATAAGATACAGCCATTGAATTTAAAGTAAATTATGGCGCGGTTATATAAAAATATGCTTTTTTTCCTTTTCTATTATTGTTATTTTTTTTTTCTATCTCACCATAGTAATCTGATGCTCGCACGCTTCTAGTGGGGCAGGTAAAAAAAAGAAGGTAGATTATTATATCTAGTGGTAACGTCGAATCAACCCAGTTTAGGTAGATAAACGCCAAACAGTGTCTAAAGGCGTGCTTAATTGAATATGGTAAGGATAAATAAATAAATAAATAAAAAAAAAAAAGAATTCATTATTCGTCTAGGCTCAAATAGGCTGATTAGCAAAAAACCATTACAATTCTGGAATGAATATCATATACTTCTACACCTATTGCAGCTGCAAACTGGATGCAGGTGAAATAGCTTAAGGTCCATCGCAATACATATCGACCATCTTCGTGGTGCCGCTTTCGTTCGAAGGACATAGCAAGCTAAACGTCAACCTGTAACCAGTTAAATAGGCATCGCCACAAATGTACGTGGCCACAGGCCGAGTTTAGGTATAACGAAAAATCCAGCTGAACTTGCCATGCGAACTACGTGTTCGACTTTAGAGAAAAGCCCGATAGAAGACGGTCTATGTAAAAAGATAGCAGGTTTGATGAGTTTTTGAAGTTAATTGAGCTGGGCATCTTGAAACGATCCAAATGTGGAGCTTATTCGAGGTCAATGCGATACGTTTCCGTGTCGATAGGCGTAATTATAGCGAAATACTATAGCTCTAATATAGTGTAAGGTTTCTGTGTACCTTTAACCTATGCACAGATATTTTATAACCGCTGGTTCAAGCTTCACCATCAACATAAACTACTTTGTGTTAAAAAAAAAAACAAAAAAAAACTAGAATATATATGCACAGCGACCAATAAATGTGTAATCGTCGTGAGCCTTTACAAATATAATAACCACGTATTTACGCCTCATCGTTTATAAGTATGATTTAATTGGTTACCTTTGTCCTCGACTAGATTAGATCGGGCCTCGCCGGTCATCCAATTTGATAGAGGTGCAAACTTTTGGCCACGCTCTATGAAGGGCAGATTGACGATATATTTCTAAGGCTCATAAATGTCAATGAATAATGAACACACTTTAAAAATGTTAAAGAGTTTACAAAAAGAAAAAGAAACCTTTCTGGAAAGGTTTACATTTTTCAATGAGCCTTTGCTTTATAGCGACAGCTAATTTGGCAATTTTAAACTTATACTGTACTGCTATACTCGAGTTTAGAAAGAGTAACGTACGTTGTCTTAAGCAGACATGGTGATTAAGACTAGCAATGCATTGTCTTCAACCAGTCGTCCTCGTAATTCTTTAGTAGCAATCATGGTTTGCTGGGTAAAATTTTTGTTTACTAATCTTAGCAACACGCAATCTGTTTCGTGATGGCTGGCAGCTACCCAGCCAGCCAGCCAGCCGGCTGTCTGATGGAATGCGTGTTACGGCAATACCGTACGTAAAACGTAGCAGTGATATGGCCAGATTCAGATCTTTACGGGGAACACCTTGAGCCTCAGTTTTAAACTCCTCCTTGTAGCCTTAGGAGGCCTTAAAGTGAAACATGAAGCTATAGTTGCCAATTGATTGATTCGCGTGTCCTTTGTTTGACCGTTTCAATTACGTGTAGAGCTACAGCGACATGAAAGTTACCGACGTCCGACAAAGCATGAGATATTTATGTCGGTAGCCTCTGGAGAGGAGTTTATGTGAGCAATTACTATAAAGTAAGCAATGTGAAGTGATATCTCAGACACTTTATACTTTAGATTGATAAAATTTTTCTTATTAAATGTTATTCAATGAAAACGCAGCTATAACTGCTTTGTTTGGAAACAGGAGTACATTTTTTCTGCACATTACTATATCGCCTGCGTTATTATTGACAGATCGACTGTCGATTCACCGTCAGCAAGATAAATGCTGTTGTGGTAGACACCCGACGACAACTTGGGTCGACCCACCGTTCTTATCGCTTGCCTTTTCCACGTGTTGACCGTTCTACTGGCCTGTAAGTCTGGGTCATGAATGACCTGTAGGATTTGCCCTATACGTGTTCCCTCCCATTATCAGTGATCGACCACATAGTAGCGCTATGCACAGACAACAACGTTTAGGCGAAGCTCATCAGCTTGCACTCTCTAAGAGATAGCACGCAGAGCGTCGAGAGTACGAATGAAAGAGTGACGGCTGTGTAATTTGCCACAGCTGCTGATACTGCACAAGCAGCTAATGCTACCAGCCCAAAATAATGGCAGCGTGTTAATGATCTGTGGCAAAAAATACCGAAAAAAACATTTCACATAATCTTGGCGACGTTCTTGTCGTTTGAAGATGGCTAAACCAGAGACATAGAAGCAACATAAACAACGCTACAAGACCATAAATGAGGCCATAATAGTAATGAAAAAGGTAGCTGAGCTAAAAGTCTCAGTTGACAATTTGTTAAAAAAAGAAAAACTATATTTTACATCCGTTTGAGTAGAAGAAGAACAAAATGTTATAAAAATTATAGACAAAACAAGTGTAACAAAGATTGTTAAACGATCAAGTGTTTTTTTTTTAAACTAACCAGACTTCCGTTCTAACCTACTGGTACCTATAGAGCTATTTTGCTATGCATAAGAGTGTTTAGGCTCAAATTTTACGTGTTGGTTAGTTATTGTGTGGAATGAATTACTATGATTACTATGGAAGGCTTCCGTTGAAAAGGCTTCAAACGCTTTTTCGTCTGTGTGACGACAACGCAATTCTCTTTTAGTTCAGACGCAACTGTCGGGTCGTGGAGACCAAGCGAAATTAACAGAATATCCAGGGAGCAACCCAGTGGGTGGTCCTATAGATTGTTGCTGTGCACATACATTGTTTAGATCTAAAGCAAAACTTTTACGTACAAAATTTACCCACATGAAAAAATTAAAGTTGTATGTGATTTAAAAAATGGACCATTCGCTTAGTATTAGCAAGTTATGGTTAGTATGTTGCCGTTCAAAATTCGTGTGCACTGAAGTTCCTTCACTTACAAACACGTGTGGCGAATCCAGTAGGCCTCTCTATATGAACCTGTGTGGTGTACGTCTCGACCCTGCAATTCTAAGTATGAAGCCGGTAAAAAGATGGCTACTGACAAAAATACGCAAGCTAGCTCACACCTTTTTTGCCGTAACTTGTTAAGCTAAATCGGTTTATAAGTTTGACAAAACAGAAATGCAAGTCGATGACAGGGTCTGTGGCGAACAAAGTTGGGTGTGAAGGTATTAAACGGGCAGTTCGTGCAAGTCGGTCCAACGTGCCCCTACGCGCAAAACTGGAATTGCTGCTTTGCGATTAGAGAAAAGTAGAATAAACAGCGGAAATGAGCCCGAGTCCTTAACGAATAATCAGGCTCTGCGGAAATGGAGCAAATAAGAGAAAGACACGATTATCTTTGCGCTCATGTGTTGTCGCTGCGCTCTTTCAATGGAAGTAGGGGTGTCCCATAATTTTTACATGTTTCATAAAGTGAGGAAATTTTAGTAGACTACGATTTATTTAAAATGAAAACACGTTTTAGGAGTTTAACGCCGCGTTCGCTCGTCATTGTAAAAAAGTGGCCAAACACTGACGGCATGGTACAGGCTTTCCCTACAGTTAACCCAAGATTATGATAACGCAAACTGCTTAACTGTCATCCGCTGTCGGATATCAATTGTTCTAAATTTCTCATGCAGACAACAGTTTTGGGCCTCCTGTGTATAAATTACTGCAGACCATACGAAAAGATGAGAAGTTTGTCCAGGCATGTCGGGAGGCTATATTTCAGACCAAGCCAAATAGCAAATAGAGGCGAAACACTTGCACCTCATTTAGATTTTATATTGCATCAACAAGATTCTATTAAAAAAATTGCAACAAGCAACACGAGATAGCAATATTCAATGTAGACATTAAACTTCTAGATATAATGTTTAGCTGCAGAGCATGATCAATGATAATGTAGCAGTTGGTAAACGAGATGTCAAACTGGTATTGGCGCTTGATAACTCGATGCGTAAATACGTTGAATGAACGCATTGATGGTCTGTACCGCGTTACAACTGTTTAAACATACAAAATGGTAATAACAATAAATATACAATTAATTAGTATTTATTGATTTTATTTAATGCTTGAGCGTGTGTGCGGTCTCCGAGCAACCGAGTGTAGGCGAACCATTTTTAATGCTCGCTGAGCAATGGGGAGTTCTTCTGAGCAGTCTGATTGTCCTTTGCCCTAGCCGAGGTTACAGGGCACGCACTCAATTATCTTCATCAAATGTTCCGTAACGTCATCGAGTGATGGCAATAAACAACTAAACTCTAAAGGGCAGACATTGTGTTGCGTTGAAGGAAAACCGATCACCTGTCCTTATTAGCTGTGAATTATGTAAGGTATTTGGACAGCGTGGGGCTCATGCGTTCAGATTCTTTATGACATGTTTCACTAAGCCATTGGCCTATTGTTTTTGTTATAGTGCTAGAGGTAATTGATCATCATGAACCGGGACAGCGTGCAGTATTGCAAGACTAGTTTTGTATCCTGTGAATCTTTGCAACGTACGAAGTATGTATGTATTTACGGACTACATATTACGACATAACTTGCTACTTACAATGTAGACGGCAGCCCCCTCGTACATGGCTGATTTGTCGACTCTATATATAATATTTTCTTGCCTCGCGTATGAACGATGGTTTTTCTATACGTTCCAGGATATCACCGACGAGCTAAAACAACGCATTGCCAACGAGATGAGTTTCTCCGAGACGGCGTTCGTGTCCAAAAAAAAACCGGAGGAAAGCATTTCATCTGGTAATTCTTTACGGAGAAAAGTGAATTTAGTTCTACGTCGTTACTATATATTTTCCAGGCAATATGTTACCTCTGCATGTCCGCTACAATGAGATCAGCAGCAGTTAAAATACTGCGCATACAAAACACGTCATTGTATGAAAAAGTTCGAACGAATAGTCAAAATAAAGAATATTGTCACATATATATATATATATATATATATATATAGCAATTGTGTCTCCCTCCCAAGTCGTATTTCATTAGGATCAGATATGACAATATGTAGTTATCAACAATTGTACAGATAGCAAGCATTCGAATTGTGATGTGTCCATGATAACCCGGTTTTCTATCCCAACAAAAAAATCCGACTCAAGAAAAACTATTTCATATCTTATAAACTGGTTTATTTCCATTGGTGGGTAAATGGTATTCATTAATCTACTCAGCGCGTCTTTCTAAACGACATTTGTATGCATGTAGAGTTGAGCAGTGAAGTTTCGATGAAGAAAAGACGTTTGGTTTAGCAGTGAGCTTACTGGGGAGATGTGGGTCGTATGGTAGAATTCACCGAACTAGCGATGTCGAAATATTGAAAGTAAAATTTGGGCAACTTTACATGGACCCATAGTGTGCTTTGTGTTTGCTGTCTAAACAAGGTGAAGTCTTACCCGACTGCCTTTACGTATTGTCTGTATATCGCCAAAAAATACACACGGTTTCGATGACCAGTTCCCTTTATCGCGTCGATTGTATTATTTCGGACGTATACATAATGTCCCCATTTTTCATTACTTTTAAAAAGTAACGAATATAATGTTCTTACTGATTTCGGAGAGAAGGGCTATGCAGAAGATTCACTGAGAGGTCAACTGAAGGTTATTTTTATCTTGTTCCGAAGATATTTAAATTTGTATCACGAGAAGTTCTACGTTCTTTGCCGCTTTCTATAATTCTCTGCCGCGAGGGCGTGAAAGCAGTGATGTGTTATCGTACTACGAACGTAACATGTCTGTAGGATGCTCTGAGGGAGTCGAACGCTCTGAAGGGTTCGAAAAGATTAAGAACTTTTCTTAAACATTGACTTGCCACTTCCTCAGTGTTCCTCTGACTACGGACTTCCTTATCAGAAGGTTTAGATTTGCTGTGAGTGTAGCTGAACCATGTTAACTATGAGAAGGGTTGACCGAAGCGAAAGAGTCCCAAACTAGGAGTTTGGTTATAAAACGTCACCTTTTGTAGGCCATCCGGCTTGCCAGCCTTTTAAGAATATATTTTTTTTCATTATAATGAAACAAAGTACGAAATGGTAAAAAGTACCCGGCGCCAAACCTACAAAACACGCGGCTTCATCTCCTTATCCCACTAGTAAAACTCGTTAATACGAAAATACCGAAATCATTATAGGTGTTTTAGGTATAGGAAATACCTTGCTGCATGACGAGGCGATTACAGTTTTCAGCTCTGACGAAACTAAAATTATCACCGTTCATTTCGTAGGCCCTACACCCCATGGGGTGCATGGCAAGCCATTCACTATTCATTATAATATTGTTCAGGTACAATGCAAGTTGTACTGTAAAGAAATAAATCAGATTGAAGAAATCGAATTTGTTTTCTAAGATAAAACGCGATCTTCAAAGAAGAACAGCTATTAAATCATCACTTCAATAACGAAGTTTTATCTTGCATAGGAATGTTTCTTCTTTAGAGCATTCACAGTTGCAATTTGCCTGATCACGTTAGACGTTGTCGAAAGTAGACGCATTGGCATTTTTTTGTCCTGCTTTGAAATTTCTCTTCTATTTAATTGCTGAACAAGCCAAAAATTATGCATCTGATTTTTCGCAATTAATCTTTTTGTGAATTGCTCGTTCGATATTATTGTAAAACCTAAGTATAGTATAAATACTGCGTAACACCTAAATCGCTATCTCTTTACCCTCCACTGAAACCTAAATCAGGCCAGTCATTGACATGCCTGAACTTCTAGTCATTCAAACTCTGGCCCATGAAACGTCGAGTAGACCGACGCGCACCCCCGACTTTGTCATTCGACCTTCGACATTTGTCAGCGCCACAAACGCCGTGTGTATGCCTTACCAACGTTTCGTACTATTGCACATCACCGAATTCTAACAATTATTTTCTACAATTACATTTATATTCTTCATCTAACTTGCTTTAGAGCAACAACTCCTTGAGGGTTATTTGGATTTTAGTAATCTTCGATTAGCACATCAGTACCGCAATATGCAAGATCCCGTTGCGTAACGATTCGTTGTCCATTTAGAAATCTAGCTTTGACGGCACTAGTCTATATAGACAGAATAGGAACCCGCAATAATCTCATATAAAGCCTACGAAACCCCTAAGCAGACGACTTGACCACGTTCATCACGACATCTGTCCTGGGGTGTATAAGGTGATTCGAAATTAAACCTATCCTAGACCACTATGGCTTAATTTCGTAGAGACGCACGAATGCCGGCAAAATTATAAAGTAAGTAAGCAAAGTATAGGTTCCTTTCGTCGAGTTGCTTGCGCGTCGCCAATCTGCGTTGATGAAAATAGATAGACAAAGCGCGTACTACGTACGCTTTGACTGAAACAGACTACATATATATATATATATATATAAAGCTATGCCAAAGACGTTCATTGTCATGTTTCTTTTGGCTGTTGTTATTTCAGCATCAGACTTCTTCCTTCGTTGGTTCACACCGAAAAAAGAGGTTCCTCTTTGCGGGCACGCTACGTTAGCGACGGCGGCGGCACTTTTCGATAACGGTAGGTTTTTATCGCCGTAAGCGGTTCGAAGGTCTTTTCTAAGCAAGGCGCGAACGGAAAGACGCGACGTCACATTTAGTGAAATACGGGTAACTAGATTTGAGCTTACATACTAAATACTGCTCAGAAAATAGAAACATATTATCGGAAAAAAACGTTGAAAGAAACTAATTTACTACTATTGGCTAAAATCACTATTTGCACACACTTCAGTTAGTAAAATGCAGCGTTCACAAGCTCTTGTGTTATTGCCAGTTAATTAATAAAATGCTGATCCTTTGCTATCCATCCTTCTCTACGCGTACCAATAGTCCGAATGAAATGCCCCGATACTTCAGCCAAATCGACTCCAACTCCGTTCGAGATGCTTGCGGCTAAGATAACTTCGAGGTCTTTGTTTATACGTATGTCTGTAGTACGGCTTCGAATTTTGTCTTCATAAACAGCATTTTCTTTTCAGTGTGTGAAAAACAACATCGAACGACGCGACGCCACACAAATTCCTAATTGGTAACAAAATGTACTCCCTCAGATATTCGCCAGGTCAGTGGCGTGTGAGGCGACGTTGACGGTGCCTTTATCCAGCGCGGCCGAAGAGGCCTTTTTGTCACCTTTACAGCTGTTCATCGAAATAACAGCGGTATTATGGCTTGGAATATTTGGTGTTTATCTGTGCCGACGCTATTTTTCAGCATTTTTAAGATAGACTAAGTTCTATTACGTACGCGTTCGTATGCGTCCGCTGCGTGAAGATGAGCTTGACCTCTGTCTGTGAGCCTACTTGGCAATTGTGGAAGTTTGCAAGATTTTGAGACGATCGGTTAAAATACAAAGTGTTTTAATCACTATTGAAGCAATATTGCAGCATATTAGATGTCTTCTCAAAAACACCGGTTTGATCGCGCATGCATAGGGCCACCCATATTAGTAACGAATACAGAATATCTTATTGCGATGATCTTTGACTTCCTATCAAATGGCAAACATTTATGAAACATTAACAAATAGACTTCCCGATTTACAGCCGTGATTCACCTTCAGCTGATTCAGCTTTTCTCCCAACTCGGTCGAGAAGTGGAGAACTTCAGCTTGGAATGTAGTAAAAAAGAGCTAAAAACATTGCTGCTAACTTTACTTTGCCGTATTTACTAACTAACTACATTCACTTTTTTTTTTCTTGTAACTATATCACTTTCATGAAGGGCTGGCCATAAAAAACTACACGCCAGTCACGAAATGAAAATGCGCACCCTGTATTTAGCCTAAAAAGGTGATGGAATTATTGTTGGGATGGCCTCTGTATACTGCGAGATAATTTCTTCGTGTCATATCATTTTTAAGGGTCACAATGAATCAAACAAAACTAACAAGTATTAATACTGCATTAGGCTATGTTAGTAGTCTTTTCTTCAATTTCCTTTTGGGAGCTAATCAGAGGGCTCCTGTATCGATGCGACAAGGATTTTTTTTCGGAATACACTGGTTTCTAGGAAGCGCATGACTAGTGCTACCGGAAAACTGTATCGGTGTTACCTTAAACTTTATAAATACCTCTTGTGCTTTTTTAAAAATGTCTTCGGTCGGAACAACAGCGTCCAAATCTATATTGGACAGCCACCATATTGTATACAGCCTGAAAACGCGAATAGGCCGTTATAGTAACCGCAGCATGTATGCATTATGAAAACTACTACGCAGTGATCGTCTTTATATTTTTCTTGGCAAGTCTTTGCCCACAATCAGTAGGCATTCATAGATTTACAAGCTGAATTATCAGGGGCTATTTGCTATATAAGTTTTTAACAAGTATATATACTTGGCATTAATTTATTAGTCAATCTGTGTAAGTTTTAAGGCATCTACTTCATGCTGACGGAGACCGTAATCTGTTCTTTATAATATTATCTTTACATTTATGAAGCTCGTACCTACGAATAGCCACGGCTCTTATAGCCGCCTTCTCTTATCACGTCATGGCAGACGGCCTGAGCTGTGTTCGATTTTGGCGATTGGCTATAAATGATATATTCAACCAAGATTGACAGGAAAAGACTCCTAGAGATGTGTGTTTCCTTTTGTGCGAACTGTAGTTATTCTTAAAGAACAGTGGACTAGACGTTTTTCGACCTTATCATAACGGATCCTGATGGATACAACCCGCTTATACAATACTTGAACTAGTCGATTTGGACTGGATTCTGTTTTCCTACACAACATCTGCTAGGACATTGTAAAACAGATTGTATACCACGGGCCTCCATGTAGGTACGTTATGAAATTAACCATCGCATCTTTCTGTCGCTTAACTACGAGTTTTACCTACAAAGATGATGCCTCCATTCCTTTGAAATCCTCTGTGTTTCTGTTTCCCATCTTTCTGGTCCTTTTTTTCCATTTTATTAAAGCGATTTGCTTTGACAGTGCAGAAACGATGTCGTACACGCCTCCCTCCTTTAGAACTTGGTATTACATGTGAACGCCTACACATATAATTTCCATATTATCACAAAGAATGTCATTTTTGCCGCCTTCCTCAAGTAAATGCATCTACCGTGGCTTGTGGAAAAACAGTGAAGCCGTCCTGAACATGATTGTTCAATCTAATAAACTTGCACAATATGTCATTCGAGAGTAATGTTGACAACACTCTAATATAACTGTGTGTGCTTTAACAACTAGGGTGTTATTATATAAATCTGTAATTATATAAGTCTAATATATGCATCGCTGCTAGCAATACCTATTTCCGATTGATTCCCGATCGGCGCACGCCTATTGGCTGATGGTCGATTCGATACACACACGTGTATCAGACGTTATTCGACCAAAATCGAAGGCCGAGGCCAGCATGTTGACCACGTTCGCGAAGATTTGTTAAAATAAGCCGACCTGGCCAATTAATCCTAAGAAGGTCAATCTTGGTCCAGGCCGAAAGCCGACTCGAACTCGGACGGGAGGACTCGTACTGATAGCGGGAAGGTGGAGAGCTTTGCGGAGCAAAGGACCAACCTGGCGTATAGGTATTTACAGTGAGGGTGCTTTTTGTTCGAACTGTTATACTAACAAAAAAGCAGAAATTTATTTTTGATTTTTTTTTCAAAACGATGCTTTGGATATAAAATTGAGGACTAATAGAATCACTCTTGTTTCACGCCTGGGGCTAGGCCATTGTCGATCGCGCCGGCAATAACAATAGATATTGCGTTCTTTTTTTTGTTATATGTGTTGCCGTAAACGCTCCTCTTTAAAGTGTTCTCTTAAGATAGTATCACGTTTAAATTAAACGTTTGATACATCATATCGTACTTTCAAATTTTCTTGAAATAATGTCCGTCACAGCCGCCTGATTACTAGATCGTTGCTACTTCGTGCACAATTATATAGCATCGACTTGACCTAAATACTCCACGTAAAAATGACGGAAATTAAATTACAAAAAACAGAATGAGGGTTTTGTTCTCGCTGACAGGCTTCTTTTCAAGCACGTATCAAAATGTATATTTAAGGAAATATACTATATAATAAGGACAACCACAAAAATAACAATGTATCTATCTACATTTATGTTTTTGTAACCCGCTTTATTTCACTGTATCTATTCTTTCTAGGAAACAAAAACAAACGACTAAGCTTTGATACAAAATCAGGCACTTTGACTGCGATTAAGACGGAGGACGGTAAAATTATGCTCAATCTGCCCGCGCGCATGAACAAACAGGTGGTAAGTACAACATATGTAATGTTCACTTATTTCTATCCATATGCGTATTTTCGGTCTCAAATCCACATTAAGCAGGATATCTTCATGTGTCAGTTGTAGAAACTCAATTAGAGATTATATAGCGGATCCTATACTATATCTATTTAGACATTCTACACGAGGCTGTCTCGTTTAGCACCCACAGACGTTCCTCCCTGCTCATTTACTGGCAAACACCCACTTTTAGCAGAGTTGCCACTTGGCCGAATCTATTTTTCCTGCATTTCAGCTAAAACACTTGCTCAAGCCCATGAACTGTGAGCAGTCCGTCCACTAACTCAACGATTAAATTCGCCTTACAAAAAAGCGCTGTCATGTAGGATCCATCATAGGGATGATTAAGAGGAACATCTGTTTTAAGGGCATTTTTCGAACACTACAGAGGCCACCTTGAAAATTCGCAACATAAACAATACTCACCTTGCCATATCATAAAGATCTAGCATTTCCAGACAGAAAAAAGATCAACATTAAAACGTTTCCAACGTTTTCTTTGAATAAGACTACTCTTAAAGATGTTTTTTCCCATACCGTATTCGCTTTTCGCCCGTTTGCAGGGCCGGTCGTTCGCTGGCATTCTCTCAAGCGCTGGGAGAATTTGTTTCGCTGTCAACGAAAACACGTTTAACCAGATATTTCGAACCACCGAAAATGATACCATTGTCAACAATACAGCATAGCTTTCACTAGAAGGCCGACGGTGTTTTTTCCCAATCCACCTCTTTCTATTCGACGTTCAGCTCCATTCCTCGAAACCTTGATGCCACACCTCGATAATTCCTAACGGATGAAATTATTTCGTACCAAGTGATCGGCTCAAGCACTCTTGCAATACATACTTTTTGTTATCTTTATCTTTACAGTAGCTCTGTAACCCAGACCCCCTGAAATGTATAAATCAAACGCAACCATCCCTTAATAGCTCACATATGGCCTCGACGCAATAAGTATTTGCGGTGGATATGTTCAAGCCTATGACAATAATTATACCCAGACTAGCGTCATTCGAAATAGCATTTGAAATTAAAGACAAAACAACATCTAAAAAACAATAGGTCTGATCACGGAGCTATCATAGAACCGTACCACAGTACATGCCACTGTGCTAGACTGATTTCGAAGTGATCGAGAGGCATAGCGGAATCAATTTCTCTGGCCGGGTAACGTAATTTGTGTAAACAAATACGCTCTTTTAGCAGCAGTAGTACGCTGTTGCTCAGCGGCGAAAGAAAAGCCATTCTAAGCAGACATGTCAGGGAGGATTATAAGAGACAATGCCCTAATCGGCGTGTCTATACGTATGTGCTAAACATCCCACCTAAGCGAATCGAAACCCAATACAGGATCGCTCTCCTCTTCAAACCACATATAAAACTCTTTAATGCTTCGGATTCCGTGAAAATGCTTGTGACTTATTTTTTGACAAGCAAACGCAAGTCTTTTCATTAACTCTTTCACTTTTTTAAATTAAAGAAATTTTGTTTGGTCTGCGCACGAACCTGAGGGACGCCTCACTCACAGTTTCGTCTGCTGGTTATCCTTTGAGGTTTGCAAGCATGCCTCCGTGACTTCATGGCACAGGGGCACAGAAGAAGCTTAGTGCGAAAGCTTGTACAGCTCCATTATCTGTTTCCTGTAGAACATCTACAAACAATGGCAAGAACCCCTTGCTCTTATCGTTAGTTGCTTTATCCAACCCCTCATAGGTAGGATGAAACAGATTTGTATGCATTTGCTCAGAGTCGGCACCCCAAAAACGGAACTGCTCATGATCCTATCATTGGGGCGGTTGACCGCATGTCGTATGCGTAGAACGACTACCTACAGAGAGGATCAAGCTCACAGAGATTTCATTCGGCTATTCGCAGACATAATATGAATAGACCGATTAGCGTTGCGATCTGTTTATATTTATAAAGTGTTTGCCGGGATGTTTGTACATTGCGACAGAAATAGGATGAACGATTTGCTGTATCGACTAAGACTTCGTAAAGTTTCGAACGAGTCACAGTTTTGCAATGAGCGCCCATCGCTAGGCGGATGAATTTAGCAACACGAGAAAGCCTTTTAGGCGGTTGCGTGTATTTAATGTCGTTACTTTTCGACACCGAGTTCAAAAAGACGAAGTACAATAGTATCCGTATGATCGAATACGATCCTTCAAGGCCAGTTCGCCACACGTTTTCCTTCTATATTGCAGAACCCAGGCATCTACGATGGTCTATTCAAGCACGTGATCGGCGAGCGCCTGGAAGTCATTGAAGTCCGCTATTCGACCGAAGAGATGAAGCTTGTTCTACGTCTCAAAGACAATACCACCATGTAAGTTCAGCTCACAAAGCCCGACTGAATTTTTAGCTCTACGAGTTCTCTGTTTAGTCAAATTCAGTTATTGGCGAATCCGACTGTGCCCATGAGAGATGCAAGACCACCGATAACACATACTCGACATTTATTTTGAATAAAAAAATCCTTTAAATATGCGCTGACTGTACTGCAACGCAGCGTAGTAAAAGATGCCAATACCTGAACAAACCCACTGTCCTCATATGTTAATCGTCGTTGCAGCCGGTGCCTGTAATCATTTTGTATGAAAAGCTACCAGTGATACCGGAAAAATGCCATTAATTTTTTCTATTCGAATGCATACGTTAAGAAAATTCGACATATTCTTTTTACAAATGGCAGGAAGCAGTTGGAAAACTTCAGCCCAAATTTTGATAGGATGATGGCATTTAGCGGCGGCAATCTGACACTCCGTGGAGTCACAGTTACATTGAAAGGCTCAAAAGAGAACGGATGTGTCAATGCGGAAACTGGAGAGGTGTACGACTTCGTATCAAGACATTTCGCGCCATGGTACGGTGTTCCCGAAGATCCTGTTACTGGGTCGGCCCATACGGTCCTTGGACCGTACTGGTCCGAGCAGCTCGGTGGAAAAACTAAGTTGTTTGGTAAGTGGTATGAGGATTTAAGTACATTATTTGTGCCAAGGTCAACCCAGAACCATCGTACGATGACAAACGTGTGAGATGCAGAAGTCAGAGTTAGCGCTGGTTGTATATTACCCTTTGCCATAGAGAAAGCCAATAGCCTACTAAGTTAACGTTCTTAGCATTCTATACATATTGGATGCTCAAAAGGCATTGATGCCCTTCACGTCAAAATTGAAGCGAAGATTTTTCATATTGCAAAACAATATTACTAAACTGAACATGTGCCCATTTAATCGATAACCCTTTGCCATTTTCCTGGCAACACCATAATCCCATCACTATGGAACTTCTGTGGTCCATGGACAAAGCATGGTAGCAAGTATTCTATGTATCTTTATCATTGACGCTAAGTTAATACAATTGAAGTAGTTCTACAGAAACTGAGACAAATGATAATCTAATGGTACAACGTTCAGACCCTATAGATGCGCTAACACTCCTTGAACTGTTTGCTGGATAGCTTAAGATGTATATGGTCTGGAATCGTCATGACGGAAGACGTTGCCCCTCCTGTCCACTAATTCCGATTGGTTTATTTAATAGTTTGTTGTAGTCTTGTTGATCGTTGACAAAATAAATATCCGAATCAATAATTCTGCCAGGCGGCACCGACTCTCAAAGCGCAGCATCCCAACAAGCATGACCTTTGTTGTCAGGCCGAGCTTTAGGACAGGTCATACAGCAAATTTTTTCTCTCGCTGTCATATATTGTGCCCTTTTCTAATCCGTAATCAAGCGCTTAACAAACTGGCTTGACTTTGGTGCATTTTCATAGTATTTTGCAAATACGACCAACTAAATGATTCCGCATCGTAGAGCATCCAAATATCAAACGTTTCATATATATCATACCCAGCTCTCGTAATAGTTTCATCAGCTTTTTTCGTCTACCACTATGAAAAGCATCTTTTACATCGGAATTTCTAAAACGGAAATGACAGGACCACTTTTGGCGCTTCTCTTCAGATAGCCCGTCTTGATCATAGATAGCCTACTTTGTTTTTAAGACGGACCAATATTTGTACCTTTATCGTAACAGAATTATAAAATTTCACTCTTCTTCAAGGCTCCTTGTCCTAAACCTGAGCAAGCGAATTCAAACGTATTGGCGACGGTCAAATTTCAGCTTTCACATGACCCCAACCCTATATCACCTGACACGGGTCACTTTAAATCTGCTTAGCTAGCTTTTGGCCATTCAATAAGTTAATCTACCTTCATTTATCTCTGTTTAAACATGTATGTATGACTTCTGGCACATTCGACAGAAGTCTCTCGCAAGCTGCACAGATTTATTTAAAACTTATATATATAAAACGTATAAGGGCAGGTGCCGCATCAGGAAGGTGTTACGTGGCTGAGTGTCACGGGCGATAGGATGATACTTACGATAATGGTCTTAGATTAGAGAAAAAAAGTGGCTGCAATGTTGGCACTTAGACCAAGAGTGAAGCAGCTACGCGGGCCTTCGCCACGAATGCTAGATACAATAGACAAAGCCTTAATTCAGACAGATAGGATAATTTCTCTATATCGTTTAAATCGGTATCGAAGCCGTCTGGAATGAACATCTGTCTCATAAATTATGTGCTTGGCCCGAAATTGCTTTGTGTATATCTTTGAATAGAACGGTTCTACGCTATTCTATGCTACTGAAGGCTATCGCACTTCAGCGACTCCAGTCAACTAACATGTTAATGCGATCGTCTAGCTTTTTTGGCTTTTTTTACGGGACAATCTTCGATGGACCGAACGCATCATACGGCGGCAGCAAGTGACTGGTATATACGGTTATATTATTAAAAGTTATTTGTCATATCTTTGGTGCTGAGAAGTTGCTGTACTTCAAGGCGTCGAGAAGGACGTTTACTATTACTTTTTCAGAGGAATTAAGATTGCCCTTAAAAAATCATTCAAGTGCATTCAGTTCATACGATTTACTTACAACAGAGTGCAGCTTGCCCTTTAAACGTTTCTAACGGCTTTTTACTATTAAACTACTATCGATTATGCAATGACTCTGGTCCAATGTGGGATTCTTGCTCTAACATCTTTTAAAGGTCGCCGAATATTCAGGCCCATGATTATAAAGCCTCTAGTAACATGCCGTTTTAAGGTTATAATGACGTTTAGCATAAGCATGTATTTATTTCTCTTAAAATTAGCTTTCAGTATGTTTAACTTAGCTTATCAACTATTTGACTATTTCATTGTTGTCTCTAGCCCATTTATTAAATAGCTTGATAGTAATCTTATACGTGTGCACGTTCGTTTGCAGCCCGGCAAGCCTCGAAACGCGGCGGAGATCTTTACCTGACCGTTCGCAACGATCATCGCATTGAGATGGGGGGTCATTGGGTCTGTGTCCGGAAGGGAGAACTCTATGTGTAAGTCGAGTGTGCCCAGGAGCCCAAGCGCATTACCAAAGCGTTGAAAACGATCTGGAAAAGCAACCTAAAGATGTCGTCGGGAAGGCAGAAAGAAGGATGCAGGAGTAAAAAAAACCTAAAGTTTGATTAGTGTCCTTCTTTGCCAGGTGCCCATCAGGGAAACGTGCTCATTACACAGATATTTAATATACGAAAATGTGAAGAGGAGTACAGAAGGAGAAACAAAAAATGAGCCCTGAATGAGAGGTTCTGACGGCGTTCTTGAACGGGGATGTTTCATAAAGCATTGCGACGATGCACGACTTGTCTTCCCCATGTCTTCGCCGTACGACACGTGATATGTAGATAGTTTTAGATGAAACTAGATAAAAATGATACAGGGCATGATATAGTTATTCGAATATCACTGAATGCTTATTACTACGATGTGGACGTACTGCGTGGACATAATTTGCAACAGAACCTAGAAACCATTGAAGAAAATAAAAAAAAAAACACCGATACGGATATTATGAGCTAAAATATTGAAGCGTGCATTGTTTACGTTGAGTTGACAAAAGTTCATAAATACCTCGCGCTGACAACTGGTGCCCTGCATTATTCCGAAAGCCGAAGTAAATCCTTGCGCGTCGTTGGTTAATCGCTTGTATTCCGCCTGGAACTCAATGGAAACACCATTACCATGTTTTCCGCTCCATACGTCTACAGATAGAAAAAGCAAATCTTCGTTAATGAGATTTGCTATTAGCAACAACTGGAAATCATTTGAGCCACTAAGTCGTTGAAGGAAACAGTCGAGACGTAAAGTAATGAACGTTAAACCAAAATGGGTCGGGATGATGCCTTTATAAAAATACCATACATTATTAAATCGTATTGTTAACACGTAACGACAAAGACTGACGTGCAGTGAGCGTCCTAAATTCGAAGATGGATGGCGTGTGGGGCAGAAAACGCCTACACACGATTAATCCGTTTCGGTCGAATCATACTATGTCAATATATTCTTATCTTTTACAGCACTGTCGTCAGCTGTTATAAATCTGGTGGTGACTCATTCCATCACCAACTGAAGAAAAAAAACGCTGCTCGCCTCTTGTTTCATTCGTTTCCAAGGCGGCTAGTGCAATAAAAAAAAATTGTTGGTTAACCCAAGTAGTGGTAGGACTAGACGAACAAATGAACAACTCTGTCCTACGTAAAACATCTTACAAACAATGCATTTAGCTCTATATAATCTATTACTGTTACGATGCCAAGACTGTTTATCTAAATTTTATGCTTATAGACTTACACTTATATACATCTATATATATATATATATATATGTTATTATTGCTATGATGATTATTGTTGTTGTGCTATATACGCGTTGAGACGCCCTGACAAGCGATCCGATAAACGCAAATGCATTAAAAGTCTAATAGTAGAAAAGAGGGAGAAAGCGAAGGCGAGGAGCTGAATGAACGAGCTGACACTGATCAGGTTGTACCCCTATAAAAATCAACACGTATAGTTAGCCCTTTTTGTTAGTTATCACTGTGAATTATTTCTGTTCGCGCATTATATACATACAGATTGTTTGGATACGATAACTCATAGCATCTCATGGCATTGCTCTGACTGAATTCATCGGATTACGAGCGTCTCCATATAGTTTGGGAGATAATTCCCCCTCTGAACAAACAGGGCGTTCGTGTTCTATCCGCTGTAAATAGAAAGAACTTCATAATAGCTATACCTACGCGATGAATCGGCTAATCTGAAGTCAATTTTGTTCCGTACATAATCTAGTAAACCGCGAAATTTGTGTGGGATTCGCTAACTTCGTGTCAAATTATCAGGAACTACACGGAAGAGGAACGAAGACAATTTGGACTTTGGAACTTCGGAAAGAGTTATCATCAAGCGGCTGCGAGAATGAACGATGTAGAAGAGGAGCTATCACTGCGATTACCATAGCTATCGATCCTATTATTATTATTATGATCACGATTAAAAAGTGATGAGGGGACATCTATAAAGGTACATTAGCTAACATTATAGAACGTACATTCGTAGAAATGTTAGCAAGGACGGAAAGCAATGGAGCGAAAGAAAATACGAAAACAACTATCTTCGCTGACACGAGTAAGATACAGTGGTTAATAAATTTCTGTCCGTTACGAGCCAGAATATTAGTGTTGTGCTTTTTTTTTTTTACCAGAAGTAAAAGTCCTATTGTATGTTGTTATAGGGAAACTATCGCTTTGTCTGACAACAACTAAAATAAGCCTCATTACATTTTGTTAACCTTTAAAATAACCTAATTTATTATTAATACGTAATGACACAGACTGAAAAGTTATTTAAATTTGTATTCAAAAATAGTGAGGATTTTGAAAAAATACTATACGGAGGGTCTCTGTTTGCCGGTTTTTTAGATGTACACTTGATGTTTACAATCTTTCCGCAACATTAGAATTGTCCATTTCTGTACCCATTGGATAAACTGAAAAAAAAATTATTGCAATTGAACTTTTGCCGTGCTTACAAAGTAAAAAAAAAAAATGGAACAATAACGAAAGTAGTTTTCCTATGGCCTTCTGCAATACGGCTAGGTCTAGCGTGAGAAACTTTATCTAATTACATCTGTTTCCGCTACTTTCAGCCGAATATTAAAACGCATAGAAATATATTGAAAGTGCCTATCACACCGCCTCTTTTAATCTCAGCCGCCCCAGCAGCAGCAAAAATCATCAAAAGTTTGGCTATCCGTCGTTAGGACAGATATTCGTCTGCTTGGGTTGGCAACAAAGAGAGAGCAGATTCTGTTGTTTATAATCGTGTTGTTGAACTGCTCGAACTTCAAATCGCACTAAGACCTACCAAGGCAGGAACTATTGGTCACAGAAGTGCCATACAACTTTATGCCTGTCTATTAAACACGTGGATTTATCTGAACGGTGGATATGCAAAACTTGTTTTAAATTGTCATTAACTATCTCAATGAACTAGTATCGATAATCGTGACGCACTAGCTCGTTTAGGTCAGTATTTTATAATACGAATCAGAATAATCAACCGAATCGCACGACCATTCAGAGAATCAGCAGGGTGAGAACGCCTTTGTCCTTAGTGCAACCATTCCAATCGAAACTACGTAAGGGACACTGCTGTTAGGTGCGTTATTGCGACATTTTTCGATTTGGCTTTTTGATAAATTATTATTGTCTTACTCATATTAATTATGTAATATTTTGTTGGCTAAGGCGTTAACAAGCTCCAATCGATTGATATTTTTTAATCTGCTATAGTTCTAGAATTAGCTAAGTTCTCTTTGTGTATACGAGCTGCTCGGTTGTTTATTTGCTATACAATAAAAAAATTCAAACCTATAAGTAATAGCACGGCCTAAAATGATTTCGCTGTCCTGTCTAGGAGTTTTCGTAGCTAAACTGGACACTCGTGTGAGACTTAATTGTAAAGTGGCTCACCTTATTCGTATTTCAGAATTTTAAGCCTAACGTAATTTCAATATGACCACAACGCAAGTGAACAATGCTATCACGCTTTCCGGTTCTTCTGAGATGGTCGCAGAATTCTTTGGTAAGAACATTTTTGGTAAGCTTCAAATTCGTTTTTACTTTCAACATTTAAGCTTTGCGAATATAATCGTCAACGGCGGTTCTGAACGTAAAGCTCGAAACATTTAGTCCTTGAAAATTCGATCATTTAGTTTGCGTGACGAACACAAAATAGCTTGTTGATTTTAAAACACCGATACTCCTAAATCTATAATTAATACTGTTTTTTTTTTCACTACAATAATTAATGATGGTGTAGGATACTGGGAAAGTGTGTTTTATTTTACAAAAGACACAAATACTATTACATAGCATAAGATGTATTAATTTCATTGCATCTTAATATCCTAGCTGTAAAGCTTACACCTACCTTGATGGTCTAATTAATCTCGCAATATTTACTCAGGACAATAGTTGTTGTTTTTGAAAATTCGTTTCAGAATTCAGCGTAAACAGTATATTGTACCAGCGCGGCGTTTACCCTCCCGAAAAATTCTCTCGTGTGCAGAAATACGGAATGACAGTTCTTGTAACTGACGATCAAGACCTACGAACATATCTGGAAGGCATCACGAAACAGCTCAAAGAACTCCTCCTCAAAAAGCTCCTTGACAAATTAGTGCTTGTATGTTATTTGTCGTGTGCTATTTTAATTAGATTTAGGCAGAAAATTATGTTTAAATTGTGTATCGGTAAATGATGGTGTATGTTTGAGAAAAAGTATTTTCACAAAAATGCATAGCTTATGGGATTTGAGTTTGCTTTTGGCATGTTGCGTCGATAAATTTACAAAAAAAGACCTCTGTTTTTATTTCGAACTGTGAGAAACTATGTCAATTCTAATTATACGAAAGGCTAAATTGTTTCTGTAATGGCGTAATAGGGAAATAGTTTGTGCATTTAATACCTCAACTTTTGTGTACTCTTTAACCTAGAACGGCCGAGAGATAAAAACGAATTTACGTCGTGTTTTCATGTCTAGGTGATAGCAAATTCTGAGCTTAAAACGCCTATCGAACGATGGGAGTTTAATATTCACGCGGATCCAGACGTTGTCGATGATACTGTTAAGAAAGAAAAAAGTACACAGGTCATTCAGGCTGAGATCGCATCGATCATTCGTCAGATTGTTGCTTGCGTCACCTTCTTGCCCCAGCTGGGCGGCTCTCGTAAGTATTTTGTTTCGTAAGATTCGTTTACGTATCTTTAGAATGAGCATAGGCTTTTAGTCTCTAATAACTTATATTCAACCTGTATTTTGTATTAAGTAAGTAAGTAAGTTTACGTTTGACCGCGAATAATAGTAACATAATGGCATCTATGTGCCACTACCAGTGCTACTATCAATGACGAATATGTTATTAATAACATTTTGTTCATTAAACTTTATTGTGTGCTCAAGTTATATCAAAATGTGTTATAACTGTACCAATTTATTGAGAAGAAAAATAGGATTATGTGTTGTATTTCGTAATTTCAGAATCTATACAGCTTAAAACAATGGGATTATATATATAATTTTTATCAAAAAATAAAAAAAAATGTATGATATTCCAAATATTTACTCGTGCATTATTTCAGTGGCGTTCGATCTCCTCGTATATACCAAGAAAGATGCAACGGTCAATGACACTCTATGGGCAGATTCACAACCAATGTTGATTGAGGGCGGTCAGACGGTAAAGATTAAAAGCTTTTCAACCTCAATCCATTCAGTTGATGCTGCTGTTGTGTACCTTTAAGGTTGAAGTGTGTTACAATCGATGTAAAACTAAATGCAGCTTGTTTACCCGTTAGCATTTTAAGTATATAGAAGAATAAGATAATAAGGCCCTGAAAACGGCCACTTATTCACGAAACGAGAAATTCGATTCACAAGCGAAACTTGTGATATGCTCAGGAAATCCTGTAATGCTGTTGAATATGAAAATCCCTGAGTTACTAATCTACTGTGAAACAATATACTTGCGTCTGTAAGAAAAGGCCGTTTATCTCGTCAATCTGTACATGTATCCATGTAATAATGTAGAGATACGAAAATTCATTTATAGTTTAAATAGAAAAAATCAAAGCGAAAGAACTTTTATGTATTAGCGATGCGCTTTATTCAAGCAATTACCTTCCTGCCCCCATCCTAATGGGCTTGCTTGATGTTCTGGTTGGATTGCTTTATGTGTACCATATGTTAATAAAGACGATAATAATATGAGAAACTAACGATAATTTCATCTCTGCAAAAGTAAATAAGGCTATTAATACGAGTCAAATGTACTGCAAAATTAGATAGATATCACATTGCTAAATTGCACTTCACCAACAAGGAACCAAAGCCCAACTTTGCTCCATATTAGCCTTTGCCCAAGTAGAATTAGCCGCAATTCAACTACGGTATCCAAAGTAAGTACATGGATATGCTACGAAGTATAAAACTATAAAATATTTGACAGTACTAACAGAAAAAGGACAGGCGATTTTTTAAAATAGCCAGGGCAGTTTGCTACGCTGTGTTACCTTCAGCGGCAAGAGTTCTGGCTAAAAGTCTAGAAGACCAGAAGTCAGAGATGGCTAGTTCGAGTTCTGCACTTGTATGTCTATTCCAGTCAGGCTTTATTCTCATGGCGTGATTCTAAAATAGAAAAAACAAGCTAGTGACCTTATCTGGTAATGACGTATAGATGACAAAGTTAGGAAAGTGCTACAAGATTTGTTCAGCGGTAATATTATGCCGTTGTAATTACGAAATAAGTATTCAGACACTATTCATACAAACATATATATATGTATATATAAGTAAGTATAAGCATAATATTAGGTATAATGCTTTAGTGGGAAGCCTGCTTAGACGGAAGAAGACTTGCCACCATTCTTCTCGACTTTGGAACATAACAATCTCGCATCGATGCGAACATTTCTTGTGTTGAAAATAATTTTAAAAAATTCTGAAAATAATAACCATTATTTTGGAAATAAAGTTGTGTCAATACCTCTTTGAAAATAAAAGAAATAAGAATGATATGTATAAATTTTAGATTATAATATTATTTATTTGTTATTTACTACCTAGATTGACACGTAATTGACGACACGAAGAACTAATGTAAATTTAAGGTCTTTACAGTTCATTATTATTAATAACTTTATACCATCATCATCATCATCATCATCATCATCATCGTCGTCGTCCATAATATTCATCAATGTGAGTTTTCTCTCCGTATCAGATGTGTGTAAAATCCGAATCAGTGTTATCAATCTGCTATTGTGGTTCGTGTGTAGCTGTTGATGTACAGGTGTGTGTTTGTAAGTTCAGCACTCCTTGGTGGGTTGTGAAGTTATGGTGTGGCGGATGCAAGAGAGGCATTATTCTGACGTTCTGTCTGTTTTGGCTCAAACCTGAAGGATTCACAAGTTATCGCAGTTAAAACACGAAACACTTGTGACGAAGGTTACTCTAGAAAAGGTCATATCTGTATATAGTTCGACAACGCTAAACGTAATCTATTACGTTCACTGTGCCTTCTATGAGTCCCAGGTAATGTCCGTTGTCGCAATTATTTCTCTGTCGCAAAGGATCTCTGAAACAATTACGATTTCGCCTGCGTGCAAAGTGTGCTAGTGAAATTTGAAGCTATTGATCGCTTTGTATTTTTTTTAGTTCTGGACTTTGTCATTGGTTAGTATTGAAATATATTATTATCATCGTCGTCATTGCTATTCTTGAAAAAGCGTCAACGAACCAGTACCTATAATAGAAACACATAATTTTGTAAGATATTTTAGCCTTTTTTAAATGTGTAACGGCAGCGCGCCACATTTCCTAGAACAATGAAAAACATCATTTTTCCCCTGCTCTACGTTTCTCCTTTTCTTACATTATTATTTTCCTGTTTTTGCTCGTGTTTCCTGTTCAGCTTTTTTGTGTTCTTCGTCTGCTTGACTATTTGTTTGTCCTTCTATTGAATCATCAGCTGCGTAACGTCAACAACACGGCGCTTATGCTCACGCATAATGTGTTCTCAGTTCGATTGTTATTTGCATCTACCGATGTGGCTCTATTTGTTATTTTGGTTTTATTACAAATGTGTTGTTTCATTCATGCTGTGTTCAAGTGTATGTGAAATATATTATTACCCCTCGCCTTTCAGTTGATAGGCGTATCGTATTATAATGACATTGCTTGTGTTTCATTGATCTCGCGATTCGGCTTCTCCTCTATAGCTTCATGTTAACTTCCGTATCCTTGCGAAATTTTATTTCTTTCCCGGTGTACTCTATCCGTTCTGTTTCCTGTCGGTAGAGGTGTGGCACAAGGATGCTTTGTCTGCTTGGTGCTTCCCTTCGCAGCCTGCCGCTCGTGTTTATGATAGTAATAATATTATTGGTGGTGTATCCTTTCGTAATGGTACACCATATAAGTAATAATAATAATAACTCCTTTACGATTTAATGTGCTCATAATTATCGTTACCATCATTACTATTACGATTGTTATTAATCTCCGGCTCTGCATTCGTCGACACATGACACAATAATAAGTTAAAATGAGCAAACTGTGTAGTGTTGTATGGGTGCTTGTGAATCAACAAGGAAGTGTAAACTGTTGTTGTCGGCCGTTTTAAAGTTGTGTTGGTGGTCTGCAAGATGCGTCAACCGCTTACATCTATCCGATACACCTCCTCTTGGAGATATACATCTATTCATTTTATATAGCAGACAATTTTGTTATTATTCTTCTGCAAGTGCTATTTGTTACTCTGAAGTGATTTGCCTCTGTTTGCAATAGATGTACCGGCTAACGCGTTGTTTCCCATCATCATCATCATCGTCATCATCATCGTTATTCATAGTAATATTAATATCATCAAATCGTCATTTTATATATCTATATCGTCCCATTCGCCATCTTCACATCGTCTTTGTCTTCATTATCTTCATCATCGTCGTCGTCGTCGTCCTTAGAATCGCGCCTTCGTATATTGCTTTACGACTTGCTATAGAATAACATCACCACAAAAGCCACACGGGTGGTTCATCTTCGCCTTCTGCCTCGTGTATTTCTCTCTAATTTTCACCATTACCCGATCTCCCTATCTTCGAACAGCTTAGCTTTTTGTTTCTACCTTTTTCAGGCCACCGCCACGAAGGGACACGGAACGCATCGCCTAAATAGCCGTGTCAAGCTAACGGCTTTTCGGCACCGGCCATCTATAGAAGACACCAGTACAATTTCGCGAGGCGCCCTACAGGTTCAAGTATCCACTTGGCCCTTGGGAAGACCGCGGCGGTGGCAGATCGAACAACCAATCGCACGCACCATGCTTGGCAAGGTATCTACTGGTTTGAGAATGTACATTATGTACAGAGGTTCTATATTTCTCTATCTTTTTTCCTTATTCTCTCGTTCTTTTATCATCATTTTTCACTCTTACGTTTGTTTACCATCCCTTTGTGATTAATCAGTCAGTCAGTCAGTCAGTCAGTCAATCAGTCAATCAATCAGTTAACCGATCGATAGTTTCATACTCTGCCATCAGTAACACTTGCGTTTCTTCCATCCGTCGTCGTTTCGTCGCAATCGCTGCCGCGAATGCCATTTATTAAAGTGATCGTCATCCAGGACCGTCAGCGGCGGTAAAAGTGGTCATAGATTTATAATTGTAATAGCCATTTTCATTTAGTAGAACGATCGTAATAATTTACCATTTATCAAATAGCAAGGTGTTTGCAATTATCATCGTCATCGTTTGAGTTTGGTGTACAATGCATACATAGATCTGGCCAACGGCAAGGACACATCTTTTCAACACTTTCCTTTTCAGCCATTCTCCCCCTGCCGCGATCAAAAATCCTATTTCATTTCTATGATTCACTCTGGTCGTGATAGTCACTGAAACTTCGGTTCTCTACACTGCTTTTGACCTATGTGGCTCGCACACGAATGCACCCTAAATATGTGTTTTACGAGTTACGTAGCGTCATACATCGTACGTCGCTATAGATGCATACGAAATCGGTATTTGGCGCTAAAAACATTAAAAGAAAGTGTGTACCTGTCCGCTTCATTTCATTAGTTGCTGTTGTAGTTTTTGCTCTGCTGCATGATCCACTTGTTTACATAGAACTTTTTCCTATATAAATATCTATATTCGATGGGTGTAACAATTTCAGCGACATGTTCGGTCTGTTTTTTCTCTTATGTCATATTTCGTTGCATACGAGACGATGGTGGTAAGCCTCTGTTGACCATTATTAATGTTTTGTAGTAGCAGCAGTAGTAGTAGTAGTAGAAGTAGCATCATTAATAATATTATTTTTATTATTATTATTATTATTATTGGTCGTTTCATGGCTGCAGGTGGCTGCATGAAGATGTATCACAGACAACGCCCTTGTTCGACTTGATTGCCTCGCAGCACCAGCTTCTTTTTTTTGTTCTCGCTAGTTTCACGTCATTCTTTGTTTCCGTCGCTCTGCCTCGCTTTACTTTTAACTTTTCAACTCAGGATCCTGTTCTAGTCATCACTGATCTTTTACGGTCGCATTCTTTTCTATCCGTTAAAACTGTGTTCAAATCTTTTCTAAAGATGATCAGCTGTGCCTATCCACCCATAGTACTCGTGACTGGATTGCTGTCAAATCACGCCATCAGCCTTATCACTTCTAATCATACGATGGGTGTCTTTTTCACCGTATGGTTTTTTACGATCGACCAATCGACGTCCGGTCAAGCTGACGTAATACGTGCTTACGCATATATCGTGATTCTTATCTGATACAGGACTGCGTATTGATTTTGTCTTGCAAAGCCCCGAAAAGTGGTAGAGGCTTCGTAAAGCTATACGAAAACGGGAAGCACTGAAGGCTGTTATTGTAAGCGCCCGTTTCATGTCGTAATAACTTTTAGAGACCATTCTCTATACCAATCAGCCAACCATTTCCTCCACGTGATGACTTCTGATTCACTCTTAAAGAGCCTTTGGCTAATCAAATGGTTGTTAATGGCGTACTTTGTCACTACGCAGCATTGAACATCATTGCCTCTCTGTACTACGCCATGTTCTAATCAGGTCCTCAGAAAGGTCACTCTGAGATGTTCGATAAGGTCTTCACTTAGGTTCAGATTATGTAGATTTCCAGTTCGTAGCTACGGATCGGCCTGGCCGTTTGTCTGGCTGTCTGCATGTATGTGTGTCTGTCTTTCCGTTTTTATTTTTCTCTCTTTCCTACAAGCTCTGGTAGCTGCATCCAGCTTGTTGCGGTTGTTGTTGTTGCGGGGGGCGATGTTGGTGCGGGGGGGGCAATGGGCTTTGCTCTTCCATCAGTTGCTGCGACATTGGAGACATATTCCCGATGCCTCCTCGCTGAACTTGTTGCACCTGCAGCATTGTTTGTTGTTGCTGTTGTTGTTGCTCAAAGCTGGCCCCCCGCTTGAGGGCGTTGCCTGCACGCGAGCGTCACACCTTAATGGCTTGGCCACCGGTGACGCTGTTCTGATTGTTATTGGCCTTTCGGCCCCGGCCCCGACCTGAGCCAGTGGAAGTCTTGAGCATCTTCAGCGAGTCCTGCTCGCACAGTAGAGACCCGTTCACCAGGTTGTATCTGCCGAGGAATAAGGATAACGAAATGACTTGTAAGATATGGCTGTGCCTTGGTGCATTGCGGCTTTCTGCCTGCTAATATTGACACTAGGAACGGCTAATTATTTTGTGGATATAAGGACATAAAAACGGGTTAGGGAAACTTGTGAGACGCTTAGTTTCAAGTCCGTTCGGGTCGCAGAGCTAACTATTTCCGCTTTACTGTAAGGTGTATCATAAATATAAGTCGTATTCCGGATCTCATCAATAGCGTATTATATGCTAAAAATGGATCGTTCTAAAATGTAAACGTTCTAAAATGAAACAGAACGAAATTAGCTTTACCTGTCACCGGGTTTCAGCTGGCTGTGACACTTGGCACAGGAGAAGCACTTAGGGTGGTAAACTTGTCCGCCACGTATAGATGGCGCTCGCATCACGTAGTCGTTCGCAGGAATTCCTTGTCCGCAGGCGGAACATACTCCACTCGATCCAAAATGCCTGAAACCAAGAGAAGATGAATTCAGGCTACCCATTTAACACAGAACACTATCGCACAGGTGGTAGGGTATAATGGGCTGTAGAAATCCGCACAGGACTAAAACCTCGCAGCACTTATATCCCCGCCTCAGGCCTGATGCCCGTGGCGCGGCGATCATTTTAAGTATAGGGAGGGAGTGTAATAATATTCCAGGCGGGGTAAGGTAACTGCACAGTCTGCTGATATTAACAAATTGAATAAGAGTAACGAAGTACTGACTCTCACAGCTAGGAATCGAATCCAGGGTATATGATATTTGATGTCTATTTGTCTATTCTACGGAACATTGCGGTAATTAAAGTTTCGTTATATCACCTGTTCAATGTTCAATTGAGCATCTTTTATGCTAGTTTAAGCTTCACTGAACTCGGATAGGTGCATTTAATTTGTTGCTCTACGTGTTGGCTTTGCAACCTCTCTTCTGTTTTCAAATTTATAACATTGTCGAACGCGATTTCTCATAGGGGCATACCAAAAACGATCAATGGTTTGTTTTTATCACTGTTAATGCTGCCATACATAACGACAGATATCTCACAGGTTCACCCTTATCAGAGATAATTTATGGATGTAATAAAAAGCTTTCGATGCAGCCCACTACTCTGCATACACGCAAAAAATCTATACACACTACAAAGTGTATGTATTGTGACAATATTATGATGACACTAGATATGTAGGGTGCTGTTATTATACCGACCACAAGCGTAATTGCAGCACCAGTGTCGTCGTCGTCGTCGTCACTGCATTTGTTATTATTGTAATGGAATTCTAAACATTGTTGTCGGTGTGGCTGCCCTTTTTTCCGGGAGTTGTTAACACCCGCTTTTGACCACAATGCTTCTGATTTCGTCGTTGTTCATAGAGTTTTACTATGTTCACTCTTTTTTGCTCCTTCGTCCTGTTACTCCCTCGTCGTCGTCGCTACAGCCATTTTCGCAAACGATTTCTTGTGATTTCCCTTTCTCCGGCATCTCTCTCTTTCTAGCGTTAAGCGGATAATAAGGGGTGGTCTAGGGCCTACACACGAGTGCCTTCACAAGCGCATAGTCGGTAGTATTGAAATACATGAAGATAAAGAAAAGCAAAAAAGAAAGCAACCAGGACTGTGTAGAAAGATAGCCGCTACTGGAAGCCGAGGATGAAAGAAGTGAGCCACAGTGGAAAAAGGAAATGTGGTGGAGAAAAAGAAGGGAGAAGCGAGGAAAACTCGCGTACGATGCATTGGCATGATTGATATTATATTGCTCCTTTCCCCGTACACTTTTCCGAAATCCTTGTGCCACGGCCCGAGCCTCTTTTCCCTGCAGTTTTTTTTTTGCTTAACGTTCGGTCCGGTTCGCTCTTTTCACTAGAAAGCTTGTAATACAACTATAACATATAAAACGAAGGTTTATATATCTGCCGTGGCTGTCGCTTCGCAGTAGATGGTATTGCCATTAAGAACCTACTGTCGCTAGTGGAGTCACGAGGATAACGAAATAGTGAGCAGCGGCAACCCCCGTATGGCATACTTCAAGCAGCGTCCGCTGCACCCCACACAGGCTTATTGACAGTCAAGCAGCTCGGCAGCGCTGTAATGAATGAATAGTGGCAGAAGGTTGAATAGAAGCAATTTCGTCTACCTCGCACTCGCTATCGGTCTCTACTAGTCCTCCTCGATTTCTCTTGTTCTGTTCACCGTCTACCCGTAGCCGTAGCAGTCACTAACATCAAGGGGGCCCGACTCACATAGAGGTCCATGTAATCGCTCCAAGGCAGCATTTCGTCGGTATACCTGCCAAACCTGCTGGTGGTTCAATCGCTGGCGCCGCCCTTACCACTACGGTCATCGCAGTCGTAGCTGTTCCAACTGCATGCAGTCTACACGGACACGTCAACGGCTGCTGCTACTGTTTCCGTCTTGCAGGTTCTTTCGTGAACGGCCGTAGTACTTACTCAATGCTGGTATAATTTTTTTTTTGCATTTCTAATACGTGCTATCGCGTAGCTGCTATTGCTAATGAGAGACGCAATAAAAGATGGAGATTTGCTTCCAGGATTGGCGTCGTCGTCGTCGTCGTCGTCATCGGCAGCAGTAGTGTCCGCTAGAGTACCAGCGCGGCAGCAATGCTGCCCTAGCGATCATCATTATTTTGCAAAAAAAGTTAGTGGCTGTATAGTGGAGACTGGCCGGCCAGCGGAAGCAGCCGTCTTACCCGAACAAACTACGCTAAGCAGACGTCGCAAACGCCGAAAACGGGCTAAACGTGGGAACAGAATCAATCGATGTCTAGACGCGCTTAGGTAACGACGCTGGCGGATCGCTTGTGGCTGTTCGAGCCTTAGGAATGGCTTTGAATCAGGTTGACTGACTGAGGCGCTGGTTTAGCCAAGCGAGCCAATAGAAAACCCCTTGACAGATGCCGTATCGGTTACTAATGAGATGACCCTCCAGTTTTTTTTATTTTATATTTATGTATATTCAACGATATCAGTAATGTGAACAACAATCGCAGCAATATTGATATATAGAACCATATATAATGTATGTACGTGTGTATAGAGGGATTACAGGTTGTGGCAGGCGGTTGTCGAGCGCTCCTGCCGCCGTATCGCAGCTATCGTACAGCAATTCAATAGCGACGACCCAGTCTGTATTGCTATCCTTGGACGGCAAGTGGGTGACTCGACCAATCGGTCGGCCATGGCCCTTCGCGGTGATATTGCATCCCGACGTAGCAGCAGCAGCAGCAGCAATGGCATCAGCAGTTGACGTGTGATCGGCGTCCCGGTGCACAGCCAAACATCGGCCAGCAGGCGGGCCCTGACGAGCCTCTAAGTGTGCGTGTGCGTTGGGTGTCTGCGCCAAGAAATGTCCCACAACACTATAACCGGAGCGTTCGCGAGCACCTATAGCATCGGGACCAAAACGAAGCAGAGCCAGGCTTTTCGGCAGAAGCAACGGGGAACTATGGAGGCTATAGTGAGCTCTGGAACTATGAGTGCTGGAGTAGCAGCAACCAAAGTTGGGTGAATTAATAATACGCACTCGCTGACTCGGCCGCCAGTCCTCCAGCCACCGTTCATCCTCTCGACCCATTCACCTCGTTCAGCAATAGGTTTATTGAGAATAGTGCGGGATTAGGCGCGCCTTTTTCCACTGCCCTACGGAAGTTCGTCCCTTGCCAGCTATTTCCATGTCAGCCGCGTCCCCCTCTGCTCTACCCCTAAGCCATCCAATTCCGAGTTACACATATACGGCCGCACATTCACGCTTAGGCTCCCATACACATCTTTGTAGAAAAAGGCCTACCGTTCTTAATTCGATTTGTTAAGCCGAAATTCCGTTAGTGTTAACGCTGTCGCGCAAAAAACCAATGCTTATAAACGGTCTTAGTACAATGCTTTCATATTGAGTTCGATCTGCTTCAAAAAATCCGCACCTGACCTTGCTCTGACACGCAATAGAGCGTCAAGATTTTTTAAGTGAAATCATAGTCCTCAAAAGTTATCAGTTTTTTGGAAGTCTGCTTATTGAAAAGCTTTTTTGGTAAATTTACGTTTTTATGACTTTTCGAGTAAGAATCTATAGAGGACCTTTTGTCGTCTCGAACACACTGACCTCATGCACAATTGGATAAATGATGTTCAATTTATTATAGTACTATTATATCGATAGCGATGGGCAAAAGACAAGCTGATATTCAGCGACGATTGCACATTTGATACAAAACAAAAGATATATAAGGTACATATTTTTCTTATTAGGTAATAGGTTTTAACATTGTTGTAAAGCAAACAACACCATCATGTAATAGGCAGACTGTAATAATTTTTAATAAAGTGAACTACATATATATTTTCGTATGGCTACTAATTAAGCAAGGCATACGACATGTGCTGTCTTGGTAACCTGCCCTATTTCCTTTGTATCAGCGCGTCTATACGCTAGTATGTGTGTGCAAGCGGTAACCAGTAGGTAGCCATAGCGTCTCCGGACAGCTTCTGCAGGATAACACTCATGTTTCTTATACTGTGAAGTAAACGTTGTAATAGCGACAACTGTCAGTCGCACTCGAGATCGAGAGTATAATTGCCGCAACCGCTACTGCTGCCATCGTCGACAAAGTCGTTTTCTCCAATAGGTTTACCTGATGACACAGGGACCACTTAGCAGCCGCGTCGCCGACGCGGCCGCAGACACGGTGGATAGAGAAGAGAACACAGACACAATACGGGTGTTCCATATATCAACATCCCGAGCCTTCTCAGCTGTGTTTGTGTATAAGTGCGTGCTTTAATACGTGTTCTATGTTAATATGCATGCCAAGTGAATGGCTTGAGCTGTGCTCACGGCCTGTGGAGTAAACCTTCTTCCTGTCCCCCTACCGTGATGGGACCTCCAAACATATTGGATATATGCCTCTGCGAGCGAAGTCGACACAAAGAGAATGCGTACGCCGTGCGATTTGCGTATGGGTCCTTCCACTTGTTTCTATGTGAGTGCCGTTTCTGTGGATCTCTGTCCCTGCGCGTAGGTATAGTAGGTTCCTGAGTGCTTGTGTATGTGTGTTAACCCCTTCGTCCCCCCAGATCTCCCTCTATACCCCGTGAGCTTCCACAACGTCACACTGCAGCTATCTATGCTGTAGCTGCAACTAATTGTTCCCCCGCTTCCAACCAGCTTCGCGTATTTGTGTTTTTTTTTGTATCAGCTTTCTTTCTGAGTTGCTGCCGAGAAAGAAAAAGCTGAGCGATACACATGAGAATCGAGCGAACGTACGCGACTGCCTAGCTCTGCTATGGCAGGAGGGAATATACATAAGAGAAGCGGGCGAAAGGCGTGCTACGAAAGATAGTCACGACTGCCGTCGAAGGGACACTCTTGTGTGCGAAAAGTGAAAAAGACAGCAATGACGATGGCGAGAAGAGCAGAAATACATTAGCTTGTCCTCTCTCGGAAACGAAGATAGACTTA